TTTTTTTCTGTTATGTCAATAGTGACGTTCCTTTCTTTGTTCCCAATTTCAGTAATTTGAATTTTCTCTTGATCAGTCTAGCTGAAGTATCTCAACTTTGTTGTTAATATTTTCAAAGAACAAGCTTTGGGTTCTGTTGACTTTCTTATACTTTCCATTTTCTATTTCATTAATATCCACTCTGTAATATTTACTTCTTTCTGTTTGTTTTCAGTTTCATTCACTCTTGCTATGTTTCTTAATGGAAAATAGTAGATTATTGATTAGAGATATTTTTCCTTTAATGTTTTTCCCCTATAAGCACTGAATTAAACTACATCCATCTGTCTATTTTCTGTGTTTGGGGTTTGTTTTCACTCACTTCAGAAAATATTCTCATTTCTCTTGTGATTTATTATGAGTAACATTGCATTGAATTTCCATGTATTTGTTAATTCCCAAAGTTTCTTTGGGGTATTTATATCTAATTTAAGTAACTGCACTTGGAGAACTTAATTGTCTTCTTTGATTGCTCTCTAACACTGTCTTCTCTTGACAGTCAACATGCAGCCCAATGAAGGCACAGGAAAGAAACATGGAGCAGCCCACCATTAGGGTTTGATTTAGCACAGCTGCTTCTAAACATCTTTCCCTGCCTGTGTCTTTGCCTCCTACAGTGTCCTGATAATCCCAGGATGACCTCACAAGCATAAATACCCTCTTGTTGCCTTTCTCAGATAACTGCCTCTTTCAAATCTTGGTGGGCTCCTCTTTCTAAAATAACTGTGCATTCACTATTCTCATTGTCCCAGACCTTCTTTCAGGAAGGTGCTCCCCCAATCTCAGGACTCTCCCTGTATAAGAAGAGTTCACTGTCCTCTGCACAGGAGAACTCTCAGGAGGCTCATCCTAAAAACCCCAGCTAGAGTGGAAGCCTTGCTTTAAGGTGGAATTGCAATGTCACATAAGTAACCAGGTCCTGCTTATACTACTAAACAATTACATCTCCAAAAAAGTGTCCATTTTTCTTTTTTCTAAGATCATCACCATAGTGTAATCCATATATCATCACACCCCTGGGTGACAACAGCAGGCTATGATGGCTATTTTTATATTCCTTGGTTCAACTCTCGCAGGAACATCAGATTGCATTCCTTAAATGCAAACCCAGAGCAGTGCTAAGTTCCCCCTAACAGCTCCCTCATTCACTTGGAGCCCAGGAGAACATCATCCACATGGTCCTAGGAGGTCTCATCTGGAATTCTGCCACCCAGCCACCTCATGCCTTTTTTCCATTTCTTGGTCAGATGATCTGCAGCCACACTGGTAATTTTTCAGTTTATTACAGATTTCATAACCGTTTAAAACTTAACTTTCATCTACTATAATTGTCACTTTAGTAACAACATTACCTGACTCTCTTTTTTAAAGACTCTGAAATAACTTAGGTTCATTTCTTCTCATTCATCTTCATGTACATGTTCAATAATGTGATGGGGCTGGATTTTCTGAGATAGGTCTCCTTCTTTTCTTTCTTGGACTGATTATCAATATTGGCCTTTCATAATTTAAAAAAAGGATCTAAATTAGATTAATAAGTTTTAGTAGTCAACCTAATGATTTCCATAGCTCTCTCCATTATCTATTTGTATATCAATGGCCCCTGACTTATGCAGGTTCAAGTTACTTTTTTTTTTGTTTTACTTCACTATAGAGCACAAACAATATTCATTCAAAAGTTGTACTTCATGTTTTAAATTCTGATGTTTCCTGGCCTAGGTATACATGCTATCTTCCTCCTTCATGATGCTGAGCAGGGGCAGGGAGCTGCAGTTCCCCAGTGAGCCCAAGCATTCTAAGAGGAAAGAAACAATATTCTGCAGTGAATTATGATGTTTGATAGGTTGGACATTTGTAATTTATGATATTTTGAATTTCTGATGAATTTATTGGGATGTTACCCCATGATAAATCAAGGAACATCTATATGTTCTATAGCATAATTGTGATCATTATAGGTTAAAATTATTATTTATCTTTAAAAGAATAAGAAGAGAGAAAATGAAATGATAAATGAGGAGATAAAAATGTTAATTACACTTATTTGATCATTATATATTGTATACATGTATTTAACGATCACTATAACCCATCAATATGTATGACTTTTAGATGTCAATTAAAAACAAATTTTAAGAACCTGACAATCAGAACAAGCATTTTGTCTTTCCCAATACCCAACCAAACACCAAGTCACAATGAAACACATAATCTTCCCTAGAAAGAGGTTTTTCTATTGTCAGCTTTCTTCATAAGCACCCACTGTGCCCACAGATTTTAGTGGATCATTGCTAATCCTTCCCTCCATGGTTCTGGGGTTCTGGGTTAGAATTTACCAATGAGAGACATTCATATAAGGTTCAGAAGGAAAAGCCATTATGATTCTGAAGCACATTTGTCAGCAGATGTCTATACAAGGACTGAACTTGAGGATGCAGCAAAGATTTCAGAGATGTGGCTGTGGCTTCCTAGTGAGCCCTGCAAATCCAGCAGCTATTCCTCTGGCTGTTGTGAATTCCCTGACTTCTTGCATCAAAGCCTATTTCTGTGCTTATTTTTCATAAAATAAAGATTTGTTTAAAGCCAATTTTTCACAGGACTTATTGCATCCACTCCAATGAGTCATAGAAAAACCACAGAGTTGCACATCTGCACATTCAGAAATGCCCTTTTCCATCTGACACAATCACTTTCACAACCAGTTTTTCAACATGGGCTGTTACAACTCATGTCTTTATACAGCAAATGAGAAATGAGCAGCACATGCAAAATTTGAAAATCCTAAGAGTTTACTATATCTGAAAAGATCCTTTGTCCCCGGAAAGTCTCTCTTCATTGTTCCCATCCACCTCTAGGCACTCGCCTGCTCCAGTGTAGTTACACCTGAGGGCCTCCCAGGAAATTAGCTCAGCTTATCTCTGCTTTCCACTCTTAGCTCTTTATTTTTCCCAATTCCTTTTGGATGATCGGGCTGATTTCTGGCTTCAGTCAATGTTCCTCACTGCTGGTGTTATGTCATGTTTACTTACACATTTATATCCAATCTGATGGACAATTTCTCTCTGACATTCAATGTGCACAAGGCACCGTGAACCACTGTAACCTCTTCCCATCTGTTTTGCCTGGCCAGGACTCAAGTAATCCTCTGACTCATACTAGAGATCATAGCATCTTCTTACTCCCTTTTCTAACCTTGACTAACCTGTCACACACCTTGGACTCCTGACAGATCCAGAGCTAACTTTGCACTGACACAAAGAAATTGGTTATTTTTGGACATGAATTTTGCATCAATGAAAATTCCCCAGTGAAATAGTCTTAACTATTAAAAAATTTTCAATGGGAAGGAAGAGACAGAGTATTAAAGGGTAAAAGCATTCAGTTTTGATCTATTTAGAGATATGTATGAATTCAGAATGTTATTGGAACTGAGAAAGGTCATTTAATGCAGTCTTTGGGTATCAATCCTTTCAGTCACTACCGTACTTGTATGAAAGATAAAATTATCACCACCAATATGTAGACCAAACTGGACTGAAATGTTGATTATGGAGTCTACCTATGTTTGCAAATCATAAAATAAATTTTTGAAAAAGAGTTTGCTAAAGATGGACAGACTAATTTTGAAATGACTAGGCTCACCTTCTCTAGCCTAACACCAAGAACTCTTCCTTCTATTTCACCTTCTCTCTTCTCTGACATAATCACTCACTGCAAATAGGGTTTCTAAATGCAGAGCCCTAGGCCACTCCATCCATTCCACAATATTATATATTAGCCCTCTTAGAAACAAAGCCTCTCCTCCTTCAGATTTATGCTTAGGTTCACATTGGGTATGTGTCAATAATGGGGCATCGAAATCAGGAAGGACACTGACGTGCACACACCAATTTGGAATGTGGTACAGCCCACCTGGCACTGTGGTGCCAGCCTATGGGTGGAGCATACCCAGTGGGCAATGACACATCTCCAGAAAAGAACAGTTACGATACTTCTGCTGTGTAATTTCATTTGATCCTCACAATAGCCCTCAAAGTTCAGATGAGGACAGTAGGGCTGAATGATTAAAAGACAACTAGTGAGAACAGAACTTCCAAAAAGCAAATCCTGGGCTCACCACGTACTCTTCCAAGGTTTTTGATAGTGTGAGGAAAAAGTGTATGCCTCACATTGATGTTGATGTCTAAGGAACAGAGAGCTTGGAACCATGCCTTGAAAGAAACCAGGCTTGCATTTCTAAATGCAAACATCTTGATTGCCATTCCTAATACTAGCCAAATCCCTCTACTGATTCGTTCCAAACTGTAGGGAAAAATCAAAGCAGGAGCCAGAACAACTGAGAAAAGAAGCAAAATTGCAGGGGAGTATGAGAAATTTAAAAATAATTTTTAAGAAAAGGAAAGCCAAAAAAAAAAAAAACAGTAATCCCTTAGAAGCTTCTTCGACTCCATCAAAAAAAAAAAAAAATGGATAAGAAAAGAACATGTGGTACCACTGAAAATTGTCTGTATTTTCTAGAGATAAAGAGAGCACCCAAACTCAATTATTCAGAAATGTGCTGGTGAAGAATTCAGAAACATAACACAGGGCTCCTGACCACCCAAATTCATGTGCATTGAAGACATGGGTATTAGGTGGAATAAGGCATTCTGCATCTTGGTGGTGAGGGCTTCCCCTACCTCTTCTCCCCCTGATGCAGCTCTGACTATGACAAGACTCCTTATGTATGTAGTTATCATCTTGATATTGCATTAAGACTTTGAAAATGTTGGACAGATTTTTTTTTTTTTAAAGTTTACTTGTTCCAATCCACACGACAAGGACTTGTTACTTGGCGGAGAAAACAAACCTGCTCTTTGAGAGCTGTAATGGTTTTCTGAATTTCTGCTGCAAAATTGCTGAAATCCTGGAAAAACTTGGTTTTGGCCAGAAGCAACACAACTGTAGCATCGTCATCCACGTTAAAGCTGTCTTGTTGCCTGTTTTAAGAAACAAATGAAATGTTGAAAAATAAAAGTCGCGTGAAGATTTTTAAATATCAACAAATATTCCTTTGACATTTTGAATATACAAAGCAGTGTGATTGGTGTTCTGTATAATCATAAAAGAAAAAGGTATGACTGGAATTTGAAATTAAAATTAAATGGCATATAAAATGATAATCCAGTATCACATCTGCTTTGTGTAGTTTATCTAAAATGATAGGGATTTTTATGAAATCAAGGGAATGTCATGTTGCATTTTGTATACATTTGACATATTATTTACACCTCAAAGTATGTCTTTTGTTAATGAATTGTTCATTTCAATTTACACGTTGAAAAAGCTGTGACAAATTAGATATTACATATTATACAGTACCCAGGTGGGAAAGATCCTTGCTCTATTATAAATTCATGGCAAGAACTAAATTAAGAATAAGGATACTATGACAAAAATCTGATATCAAACCAGACACAAAATAGCTTAGTACTGTTGATAATTTTTAAAAAATTAAAAAAGTTTTTGTGTGAATTGACAATGTTTCTTAGAGCTTAACTTACATCCTCAAAAATCACAGGCAAATAACTTATTTGATAAATAGAAATGAAAGTTCCCACCATCTATGCATATGACATATTGTTAAAAATCAGTTTTTATGGCTTTGATTTAGTTGATGTGATATCTGTGTCTCAAGTTTTCAACTATTTTCTAGTTTTTAAAACTTAATGTCTGAGAAGCCATTGTGACTTTCAAAATCATTTTACTTTGTTCTATTTGAAATACGTCCTCTGTTGTTAAATGAGAAAAATGTCTTGCCAAAGCAAATACATCCTATGAGCTTGTAAAAACAATTTCTAAATCAGAGATATTTTACAGATCTTAATGTTGGTTAGGGAAGTTACAATAGGGAAACACTGAAAAAGAAGAGAAGTTACAAACAGCAGCAAGTTGGTCATTAGACAACTCTTGTGTTCCCTACTGTGAACTACAGGCACCATGAATCAATAGTGGCCACAAAACCAGCTCCTACTATAGTGCTGTTTAAATCAATGCAGGTGCCCAAGTGTAAAGTGCTAATAACTATAATATTAATAAGATGTATAATATTAATAAAAATTACTGGACACATTTATTTGTATCGTGCTCTCTCCTGTAAATCCTCAGTGTCTAATCAAAAGGAACTTAATCACAGAGAAGCCTGGGTGAATGTATGAAGACCTAGCCAAGACTCAAAGTATGAAATGTGAGAACATGGAGTGGCTGATGTGGGCAAGACCAGATGTTGTATGGCATTTGCAATTGTATGATTAAGTGTGGGGTGCGTGTTATGCTAAGATAGAAAGGTGCAGAATATAAGGGGCTTCCATTAGGTTTCTCACATTCTCAGGGAAAAGAATATGCCAGTAAGCAAGCAAGAAATATCTTTATCAAGAGGATTGATAAGAACAACAGTGTACTTATGGTCAATAGCACTACATTTTTACATTTATTGAAGCATAATTAATATTTAAAACTCTATATATTTAATGTATACATTTGAATGACGTGTACACTGTAATACTAGAATCAAGTCACTATCCATCATCTCCAGAAATCTCTGTATGTTCTTTTGTACATCTTCATTTTAATTTCTGTCCTTCACTTTTGTGATTAAGACCTTATGTATGTATATGAATGCACCACAGTGAATCTCATCATCGAATACGTCCACAAGAAATTAATTTAAAAAAAAAACAAACTATGGGTAAGTGGCCAAAAGAACAATAGCAGAAAGGAATCATGGGGTGGGGAGAGGGAAGGACAAGAAGAAGTAGAACAATGTATATCCCATGCCTTTATAATTATGTCAAAATGGATTCTGTTGTCATATATAACTAAAAAGAACCAACAACAACAAAAAAGAATTTAACATGAGATCTAGCCTCTTAATGTATTCCTGCTTATCTTATTTTTTTTAAAATTTTTAGTTGTGAATGGACATGAGGCTTTTCCTTTATTTACTTATATGTGGTGCTGAGGATCAAACCCAGTGCCTCACACGTGCTAGGCAAGCGCTATACCACTGAGTTACAATCCCAGGCTCTTTTAATGTATTTCTAAGAGCACGATGCCATATTGTTTTCTGTAAGTTCTATGCTATGCAATAAATCTCTAGAAATTATTTGTCTTGCATAATTGAACTTCTAAGCCTATTGAGCAATTATCCCCATTTACTCTTCCCCTGAAACCCTAGAAATCACCATTCTACTCTCTATTTCTGTGAATTGGACTGTTTTAAACACCTCATGAAAATGGAATCATATAGTATCTTTCTGCAAAAACTGGTTTATTTCACTTAGCATAATGTCCTCTAGAACCACAATGATGTATCTATCACCTAATACTTGTTAGGATACTAATATTAAAAAAATAATAATTACTATTATTGGTGAGTATTATACACTGCTGGTGGCAATGTAAAAGAGTGTAGCCAGTGTGGAAAACAGTACAGAGGTTCCTAAAAAGTTTTCAAAAATAGCACTATTATATGTTCTAGCAATCTCACTTCTGGGTATTTTTCCAAAAATAGTGAAATTAGGATCTTGAAGAGAAACTGTACCCCCAGATCCATTGTAGCTTTATTCACATTAATAAAGATATTAAAACACCTCAAATTTCTACTAACAAATAAATAGACAAGCAATACTTAAAATTTGTGAGGACTAAGCATGAAGTGGTTAGTCCTCACAAAAACACCTGTAATCCTAGCTACTAGGGAGGTTGAGGCAGAAGGACTGAAAATTCAAGGCCAGTCTCTTGGTGAGACCCTGTATCAAAATAAAAAGTGTTGGGGATGTAGCTCAGTAATAGAGTGTCCCCAGTACTAGGGGGAAAAAAAAGGTAGGTAAGCAGATCTCATTTTCTCATCTTAAGCATTTTTACAACACTAAAATAAAATT